GTAGGTGATATCGGCGCTGGGTGTTTTCGGGGTGGCGGTGTAGGGGTGGGTGGCAGGCCCTTTCGATCTCCGGCGGGGTCCTCCTGTGGTACAGGTCAGCCATGGACGGCAGGGCAGCGAATACGGAACACGCACTTCTGCTGTCGCATTCGAGGCGAGTGGCAACACAGTACTGGAGGAAGAAGCTAACGAAGCAGATTTCTGCAACGGGGGACCGGGGGCGGACAGGTACAAAATTCGAAAATTCGACCGTTGGGGAGCCCGCCCGAGCGCCAAAACCCCTCCAGCAGCCGGCCGAAGACGCCCGATGCTCATCGTGGCCCTGCCGATGGGCCGCCTGAAGAACCAACAGGGCCATCCCACGAATCGCCGGTAACAGTAAACTGAGGAGACCGTTGCAGGACGTTGTTGACGACAACGGCCCGCAATGTCCGTCTTCTGGGGGGTGGACCAGGAATGGACCATCTTCGCCCTTCAATTTTCATTCTGTAGTCGACGCCGTCAACCCGTGAATCGTGGATCCTCGGGCTCCAAAGGCCCTCGCGAGGTCCTTTGGAGTCGAGGACAATTTGCCTGGGAAATCCTCGGAGCCTGAGGATTTGTCTTCGGAGTGTTTTAACATTTGTTTTTCGAAAATCGACTCCGAGGACAGGTGGAAAGACGACGAAATCCTTGGAGTCGCGTCCCCGAGGAGTGTCTAACGACGCCCTAAGACAGTTAGGGCCCCCCCCGTGGAATACGCCCTGCCTTGCTGGCAGGGCACTACAAGGACATGAAAAGGAGGGGAGCAAAAAGAACCAACAAGCAATCACGTTCCTTACTTAGTGGCCAGATACATTCCTCAAAGCACTGGTGTAACTTCCACCGACCTGAGGGCCTTGCCAGACGTCCTTGGACATCCCTGGATTCGAAAGGCTTAATTTTTTTATTTTTTTTATGTTTTGAATTTTTTCATATTCACCCTGCCCTGAGCCCCGACTTTTTAGGAGTAGGCTACTAGATGGACTTCGCATTTTCCTGTGAAAGGTAGTGGTGATTAGAAAAAAAAAAAAAGTTAATTAAAAAGAGATGAACCATCATCCATCGACTATAGACGTCTGCAATCCTCACTGTGCCCATTCGCTTTGGCCCTCTGGTTTAGAAACCAGACCGCAATCAATCAACAAGCACCATCATGTATATCATTAAAAAAAAAAAAAAAAAAAAAAAAACAGAGGCAGACTGACAGAGCAAATGACAGATTAAAACATACAGCTGGTGTAAAAGCTGCAGGCTTCAGCTAAACCACCACTACTTGGCCCAGCTATCGTCCGCGGAAAAAAAAATAAGAGTAGAAACGTTTCAAGTCGGACGAATTTGGGCGCTCCTGTAGGGGCCCATACGTTTGCTAAAATTGTGACTTCTCAACGGGGACAAATTTAGGAAGTACTGCTGGTGAGACTGGCCTGGTTAAAAAAAAAAAAAAAAAAAAAAAGTACTGTTGGTTTTAAGTTAAACCACACGGTCCGTATTTTTAACTGTTGAGACTGTTGACCGATCCCCTTGCTAAGCGTGGAAAAACCTTGCCCGCCGAAAGGAAAAAAAAAAAAAAAAAAAAAAAAGAGACAACCAGTGCGACTTTCTTATGGCCGGCGCCGCCAGCCATTTCGCTCCGGTAGCGGAACCCCCCAAAATCGGGGGTAGCGAAACCCAAAACTCAAGGGGTGTTAACACCGGGGGGGGGGAGGGGGGCGGGAGCAGTCGGAGAAAAATGCCTGGGGCAAGATGATCTGATGGTGGTTAAGAGTTCAAACATTCAATCACAAGAGTAATTCTCTACCGGCATTAGCGCCATTTGTTTTTAAGAATACAAAGATGGATGGATGTTGCCAGCAGAGTAGCCATGTGTCCGTCTGAATGTATTCTGCGGACAGCATCATTCTTTCGTTTCTCAAGTTGTCAACATGTACCTAGCTGGTCCGTCTAGCTAGGTTCATGTCCAGAACTTGAGAAACGAAAGAATGATGCTGTCCGCAGAATACATTCAGGCGGACACAAAGAGCCTCACAATTCCGAAAATGTTTCAAGTGTCATTGTTAGTGCCGGCGTCCGCCGCTTTGCAACATGAGACAGCAACCGGACCGGCTATTCCCATCTCCCAGATTCAGAGAGTGCACCCCTTCCCTCACAA